TTAGGGGCATCTTGGTGCCCTCTTGGCCCGTCTTGGGGCCCTCTTGGGCCCGAAACAGTTATGCGACCAGACGCGGGGAAACCGCGGGGGAACCGCGGGCCGCCCTAGAAGATTTGGTCCGAGAGGCTCCGAACCATTTAAGAACTCCTCAGGAATGAGGACTGAGGCTTAAAGAGGTAGTGAGAGGACCTGAGGACACGCCCACCGCGTGCCCAGCGGCACGGTGGTGCACACACATTTAGATACAGATGTGTATATACATATATATATGTACACATGTACATACGTATTTGTATTTACAGTCATATCTATCCGTAAGGGCTTCGCCCCCATGCCGCCGGCCCCCCTCTCTCAGAATGGGACTTGCCAGAGCTGTGTTGGGATGTGTGGACGCTGACGTGAAGCAATGTCGGGACTTCACGCGAGGGCCAATATCAATTTCCGATGGTTTATGGTTTCGGTGGCGCGAATATTAGGTAATTTGCGATGGTTCATGGCTTCGGGGACGCGAGTATTAAGTCATTTGCAAAGGTTTATGGCCTCGGGGACGCAACGATTGTGGGATTTACAAGGGTTTATGGCCTCGGGGGCGCAACTATTGTAAGTTGCAAGGGCGCAACTATTGTGTAAGTTGCAAGGGTTGATTGCTTCGGGGACGCGAATATTATATAATTTGCAAGGGTTTGTGGCCTCGGGGACGCACATATGGTATAATTTGCGAAGGCTGATGGCCCTGGGGACGCGAATCTGGTATAAGTTTCGAAGTTTTTTTAAGGCTCGGGGGCGCGACTATTCCGTAATTTGGGAGGGTTTATGGCTTCGGGGGCGCGAGTAATATTGCATACTTTAGTAGAGGTTATGGCTTCGGGGACGCGAGTCTTGTATAATTTACGACGATTTATGACCTCGGGGAAGCGAACATGAGGTAATTTACTAGAATTCTGGCCTCGGGGACGCGACTATCATGTATATTTACATGTCCCACGACCCCCTCTTGAACTCAGACAACGCGATTCGGGGACGCTAACCAGGACGCTTTTCGGGTCCCCCCTCGCGCGTTCAGCAACATTTAGCAGTAAGGAAGCAGAACGCAGAACTCTAATAGTAGAAGCTGGAAACTCCAACTGGTACAGGGAGCTGCAAGTCTAATCTTCGCAGCCTGATGGCCCCGCAAGGGGTCCAGCGGATTGTCTTACGAGTAAATTATTTACTCACTATTTTCTAGGTGTGTGATTGTGTGTGTTTGTGTGTGTGTGTGTGCACATTGCAAGTTATATGTGCACGGAGCTGCGCATGTTGGCCGCTGCGCGCGCAAGTTGGTGGTGCCCACGCGTATGTGTATCCTGTGCTGCCAGATCTCGTCGTCTTGCCTGGGTTGCGGGCCAGATGTCTCTTGGCTGCTTGTTGGGGTATCTGGGGATGCCCCGCGGGGGCCTCTTGGAGGCCTCTCGAGGGGGCTCTTGGGGCCTCTGGGGGATGTCTTGGATGCCTCCTGTGCCCTCTTGGGGCCATCCCGGGGCCGTCTTGGGGCTATCTCGAGGTCATCTTGGGGGCCCCGTGTCGGAAGCTCCAAGCGAACACGCTCCGATCCCTGCACAACGCGTGGCGCCAGCATGAGCGTGGCCTCCTGGGCTCCACTTGGGTTCCTCTCGGGACGGGGCACCTTCGATGCTCGTTTCGGGGACCTTCCTGGAGCCCACCTAACGGATCTGTTCGACCCCAGTTCGACTCAAGTTCGACTCAAGTTCGACTCGGGTTCGACTCAGGTTCGACCCAACTCGACTGACGTTCGACGCAGCTTCGACGCACGAGTGGAGCGAGTGGCTCCAGGAAGGTCCCCAGAACGAGCATCCAAGGGCACCTGGAGCCGTCTCGAGGCAGGCCGTCCCGGGGCCCTCGTTCCTGGGCCGTAGCTGGGGCCGTCTTGAGGCCCTGCTGGGCCGCCTCGGGGCTCCGTGCGGCCCCTGGAGAGGTCGCGCGAGCAGCCCCTGGGAGGCGCGCGGGGCGCTGCGGGCAGGAGGCGATCCGGGCCCCCGTCAGTGGGGTCTCCTCCTCCTCCTCCTCCTCCTCCTCCTCCTCCTCCTCCTCCTCTTCCACCACCTCCTCCTCCACCTCCTCCTCCTCCTCCTCCTCCTCCCCAGCAGGTGGGGTCGAAGGCTGTCGCCGCATCGCCAGTGCATCGGCCATGCTCAGAGGAGGGAGGGCACCCGTCGGAGGGAGGGGGCCGAGCGGTCATGGCTGAAGCGGGATTCCGCGATGCGGGTTCTTGTTGTGGAATGTTGATTACTGGGCAACAGCGATTTTTGGACCCCCCCAGGCGCCCTCGCGTTCTCGCCTCGGCGCCCGTTACATGCTCATTGAAGATGAGGCTCACGCTCGAGCGGTTTGGGGAGACCTCCTCCCGTTTTACCTTGACTGGCGCGCTACTCTTTCTCTCATCGGCGCCGCCCCCAGCAACAACAACGCTCCCGCTCGAGACGTCCTCCCTTTTTTACTCAAGGCGGTGCTCCTCCTCGCCGCCGAAAGCCGCCGTCCCGACAAAACCAGTGCTTCCGCCTGAGACTTCCTCCCGTTTTACCTTGGCCTGGCGCCCTACTCTTTTTTGAATTGGCGCCGCTCCCAGCAAGAACAACGCTCCCGCTCGAGGCTTCCTCTCTCTTCCCTCAGGACGGTGCTGTTCCTCGCCGCCGACAGCATCGGGGACGACAAAACCATGGCTCCCGCTTGAGGCTTCCTCCCTTTTTCATTCAAGGCGGTGCTCCTCTTCGCCGCCGAAAACCGCCGTCCCGACAACACCAGCGCTCCCGCCCGAGACTTCCTCCCGTTTTACGCGGGACTAGCGCCCTACTCTCTTCAGAATTGGCGTCCGAGTAACAACAGCGGCCCTGCTCGAGACTTCCTTTCTATTCAGAGCCAGGTCCTTGCCTGGCCGCCGACAGCCCCCATCCACACCAAGGCAATCCTGTCGTTCGATACTACCCTTGGCTAGGGCTCCACTGGCGGTCTCACATCGGCACAGCCAGGCGCGAACATGTGTGTTTCGAGGCGGGATATGTCGAAATTCCTCGGAGGAGGTGTTTGCAAGACCTCATTGGGCGGGATATCTGGAAATGGGAGTAACGGACCCCGCTATAGAACAAGCGCCCCCCATGATGGGGATGGTTATCATGATGGTCGCATGTTTCGTGTGGAAACATCGTGCATGAGGGTACAATGATCGTTGTTGTTGTTGCTGTTGCTGTTGCTGTTGCTGCTGTTGTTGTTGTTGTTGTTGTTGTGGTGGTTGTTGTGGTTGTTGTGGTTGTTGTTGCTGCTGCTGTTGTTGTTGTTGTTGTTGTTGTTGGTGTTGTTGTTGTTGTGTTTGTTGTTGTTGTTGTTCTTGTTGTTGTTGCTGCTGTTGTCGTTGTCGTTGTCGTTGTCGTTGTCGTTGTTGTTGTTGTTGTTGTTGTTGTTGTTGTTGTTATTGTTGTTGTTGTCGTTGTCGTTGTCGTTGTCGTCGTTGTTGTTGTTGTTGTTGTTGTTGTTGCTGTTGTTGTTGTCGTTGTCGTTGTTATTGTTGTTGGTGTTGTTGTTGTTGTTGTTGTTGTTGTTGTTGTTGTTGTTGTTGTTGTTGTTGTTTGGCGTTGTCCCCCCCGCGACTCGGCCCGCGACCCACCCGCGACGTAATCCGCGACCCGCCCGCGACCCGCCCGCGACCCACCCGCGACCCACCCCGCGACCCACCCGCGACCCACCCCGCGAGCCACCCACATTGCTTTCACGAAAGTTGGGCGCCTGCGGCGGCCCCGTTGTATAATTTGTAATTGGCGCCTGCGGCGGGCTTCTTCAGAGCCTCGCAGACTGCAGACGTCCCCGCCGCCCCCAGACTCTTATCCGCGACTGCGGGGTGCTACGTACTGATGCCATTCCCTCGATTTCTTCCTTTTGGGCCTCCTGGGAGGCCCTCGTCGCCACGGCTGGAGTCGCTTCGAAATTCTGGTCAAAACGCACCCTGGGAGAGGCCAGGGGAGTAGCGGTACGAGTATTTCGTGGGTTTCTCCAGATGTGGAACACGATTTTTTCCACGACGTCGCCGACGTCGCATACGTCGCCGATGCATTGGCGTTGCGGCGCGGTCCTTCGGCCCATCTACTCGGACCCTATTAGGGAGGCCTCTTTGTGCGAGCAGCCCTGGAGGAATTGGCAATTCGGGGTCTGGCTCAACACAGAGAGTTTGAAGAGACCTGATGGCACACCATTCAGTGCCTACGGCGGTGGCGGCATTCACAGCAAAGGCTGTTTCGAGAAAGCAGGGCAAGGCAGGGCTAGGAGTGATTCAATGAAAGTCCCGATGACACTGGGCAGCAGGGCTGGTTTGGGCTATGCAGGGCATAGAGGCGATTCGCTGGAAATCGAGCGAGCATCTGGCAGTGGGGCTTGTCGGGGCGTATGTGCGACGCAACGGAAATCATGCTAGCATCAGGCAGCGTGGCTGGCCGTTTCCTCTTGGACCTACGGGCGAACCAATGTACATCCTGCTGGCACTGCGCTTTGAGGCAGCATTGTTTGGAGACATCGAATCAATTGTAACATGTTGTTTGTAACGTGGTAGTCCACCGGGGTGGTGTTGTGCAGGGCAGTCGAATGTTGCGTCATGGCGCTGAGTATGACATGATGTAATGTAGTGCGGTGCAGCGCAGTGCACACCGACGTAGTGCAGAGTAGTGTAATGTAGCGCCGTTCAATGAAATACGTCTTGTGGTGCAGAGGCAGTGTGCCGCACATGATGTATTCTGGGTATATATATAGTAGAGAGAGAGAGAGCGAGAGAGAGAGAGAGAGAGAAAGAGAGAGAGAGAGAAAAGAGAAGGAGAGAGAGAGAGAGAGAGAGAGTGAGAGAAGAGCAGCGAGAGAGAGAGAGAGAGAGAGCGACCGCATGAACACCGACCGGTGCCAGCGGCAGAGCTACAGAGGGAGCGAGATGAGCACACAGAGGAGAGAGATGGACATACATATTCGAAATGATTGTGGGACTGTGCAGCCAGGTGCTGTCCAGCGCTTACGACATCTTGTCTGACCCTGAGAAGTTCAAGAAGTGGGAGGTCAGCCCCTGGGATGGGTGAGGATCTCGTGCGAATTTTGGCCAGTGCGGCGTGGCACGTGACAGTGGCATCTGGTCGTGGCGGTGTTATGCTACGTGGGGCGGGAGGAGGAGGAAGAGAAGGGTAAGAGGTTGCGGAGAGCGGGGGTGACGGCACAGTGGAGTTGGAGGCGATGGAGGCTTGGAGAGAAGGAATGCGAGGATGACAATAATGATTCGACATTGATGGCGATGATACTGATTATGACTCGATGGTTATGGTGTAGTTGATCATGACTATGACGACTGTACGGATGCGTGCATTGAGGTTCATGGTGGTGGAGACGGAGATGGTGATGGTGATGAGATCGAGGAGTAAACATCACGAGATGCGTGGAGGAGTAACACATATGAGATTGGGGAGGGGGCAGGCTGTAACGGAAGAGGAGGAGGAGGAGGATATTACAAGATATTACAGCATGCGACCAGTCAGCACCGTTGACACAGCTGGCTCGAAACACCTACCTGTGGGGGGTGGCCCACGCTACCATTACGTGTGGGACCTCATGAGGAAGCACTTTTGTACCGTATTTGCTGGGCTGGCATCGCGTCCCATCCTCTCTTGGGGGGATCGGCCAGGACTGACCTGGTTTGGGATGTTTGCCTTGCATTATCCTTGTGAGATAATCACGGCCCGAGGGGATGATCTTCTCTTCGCTTTGAGTCGCCAGCTTGATGAGCCTCCCCCCGCCCCTCGCCACACTGCCGTAAGGCACACACTTCCAGCACCACACCAGCCCATGGAGCATACCCACTGTGCGGGTTTGTGGACCGAACGAAACTCAGCCTTCAGTTCACAAGCAGCTTGTGGTGGCTCACGGACAGGGGTTCCAGCCAGCATCACGGACTTCTCTCCTGGCGAGGCCTCCCTTGTACCTGGAGGCCCTGAGCAGCCCAGGAACGAGCCCTCACCAGGGCCCCGACGGCAGCGACGGCATGCCCAGCCTCCAGAGGCCACCCAACTCATCTGGTGCCCCGACTGCTCCCGGCTGGGGGGCGGTCCTGGATGGCCGCCTCGGCGGGCAGGGTGCCGAGCACGGCCGACTGGCGCTGGTGCGCCAAGGAGGCAAGATCCTCGACATGGGACCCCCAGACATCGGGCCTCCCGAACAAAAAAAACAAGATGGAGGTTTTTCGTCTTTTTCGGCCTCTCGGGGCCCTCGCCGGGCCTCGGGACTGTGAAAAAACGACTTGGGATGAAAAACCCGTCCAGTGGAAGTGGTCGGGAGGTCGGGGGTCCGTGTCTCGCAAAAATCGAGAGCCACGAGGGATGGCGCCTGTTTGACAACGGCGGGGACACAGCGATCCCACGCCGCCTGTCGGTCGCCGCGGATTTGCTGAGCCCTGACGTTTTTTGACGATTTGATGCTCGCCGCCGCCGCCTCCTCCTCCTCCTCCTTCTCCTCCTCCCCTTCCCCTCCCGCCCCCCCATCCCCCTCCTCCTCCTCCCCCCACGGGAGAAGGAGGAGACGTCAGTCTCCCGCTCTTCCTGTGGGCTGAAGATTCTGGCCCCGATCTTCAAAACCAGCTGCTTGACCTTTCCAGTTGCCGAAGTCGCTGCCGCCGTTCCCCCGCCATTGCCCCTCGCACGCACATCTTCGTGTGTCCTCAGGCTCTCAGTTGTGGTTGTGGAAGGTGGGTGGGTGGAGGCTAACTTTGACGAGGGCTGGGGCCGCGTTGCAGAGAGCTTCATGGCCCCGCCCTGCACTTGGTGACCTCACTCCTCACTCCATCACACGTATCACTTAAACTCGCCTCATTGGTGCTCAGAGAGCCCGTCTCCTGTCTGCTGTCCTTGTTCGTCTGGCCCATAACATATCCATCCCACATAGAAGGTCCTCGAAGGGGTGATGGCCAGGGTTGTCCAGGCAGCATTTGGGCTTGGGCTTGACTTGTTCAGTGATTGCAGCATTACTTTGACCTTTGCCATGCCGTGGACCCAACGTGGCGACGCATAAGCCTGGTGCTTCCCGGGTAGGGCTTCCAGGATTTTGCGTTGATTGTTCGGGGCATCCTGATCCGACAACGCGACGTCTGAACCTGGTTCTTCCCAAACTGGTCTCCAAGGATGCTTGCAACTCTGGCTTTTGAAGGCGATCGGATCCGACAGCGCCCGCTCGAACTCATGTCAATATGGAGTCGCCGTGACACCGAAATGCTGATGCTCTGGGATTTTATGGATTAGGTTCTAGATGCCCTTGTCCTCCGGGTTGTTAGGGTTCAGTGCGTTCCTGGGTGACATTCATATCAATGTCATCCAGGCACAGGGCATGACCACTATGTTTCATCACTCTGACGTTCACTTCTGGGTCACGCGCCTCCGCTTGGCCTATGTCGCAGCCCTTTGCCAAAGCAATCCTCGGTCTCAGCCTATCAACGCCCCCCTCGGACTATTCGCAGTTCTTTTACTTGAGCCCCTCGGGCCTGACGACTGGCATGCAGCCCCCTGATCCATCCCCAGGATCCCCCTCCACCGCCCCCTGATCCACCATGTGCCACCGCTGCTCAGCCGCAGACTCTTCTGGCCGCGCGGCCCCCTCGGTCAGGCCAGCGGGCGCGGCGGCGGCGGCCGGCCAGGCTCCTGCCGATGCTTCGGGGGAAGAAGGGAGGGGAGGGAGGGGGAGAGGGAGTGAGGATGGAGGAGGGAGGGAGGGATGGGGGAGGGAGGGAGGGAGGGATGGGGAGGAGGGAGGGAGGGAGGGAGGGAGGGAGGGAAGGAGGGAGGGAGGGAGGGAGGGAGGAGGAGGGAGGGAGGAGGAGGAGGAGGAGGAGGAGGAGGAGGAGGAGGAGGAGGACCAGTGAAAAGCCAAGTCTCATCAACGATGTTTGGAATACACCCTCCCGCGAAGCTCCCTCTTTATCGGCTCCTACAACAGTTCATTTCCTCTGAGGGAAGTGCCCCGTAGTGGGACAACCTTGTGAAATTCCGAAGCGCGCCAGAACATTATTCTCACCACTTCATCGCCACGAGTTAGTCTGGCTGGTACGTCTTCTCGACCTTGAATCGTGCCAGGGCACTACTCCAAGACTTCAACAACCCGGATCAGCGTACCTGTTGCGCCCTGATAATATTGAATCCTTTCCAAACGCCGTTTCTGGTATTTTAGCCACGAGAATAACTCTTTCGAATTTTCAAACGAATGTGCGCGGCGCTGAGGCGAGCACCACATTTTGAAACCGGCCCGCCTTTAATGGGTGAAACCCTGCACATGTTTTCAAAACGAATGTGCGCGGCGCTACGGTGAGAGCCCCATTTTGGAAACGACCTGCTTTAAATTCGTGAAGCCCTTTCAATGTTGAGCAGCTGTGCAACGGCGAGAACCACATTCTGAAAACGACCCGCCCTCAATTCGTGAAGCTATTCCAATTTTTAGAACAAGTGTGTTCGGCGCTGCGGCGAGAGCTACATATTGAAAACGACCCGCCCTCCATCCGTGAAGCTCTTGAAATGTGCGCGGTGCCTACTCTAGAGCCACATTTTCAAAACGGCCCGCCCTCAATCCGTGAAACTCTTGACAGTCTTTCAGAACGAATGTGCGGGGCGCTAAGGCGAGAGCCACATTTTGAAAACGATCCGCCCTTGATCCGTGGAGCTCTTGCAAATGCTTAAAACGAATGTGCGCGGAGCTGAGGCGAGAACCGCATTTTGAAACCACCCGCCCTCAATCCGTGAATCTCTTGCAAATTTTCAGATGGAATGTGCGCGGTGCTGAGGTGAGAACCACGTTTTGAAATCCACGCGCATTCCATATGTGAAGCTGGTGCACATTTCTTAACTACAGGATCATACATTGTGAGGAAATCTTAGGCGAAACGCCCTGCCCGTCGTTACAATAGGCTTCGGGGTGCGACAGGGAGATGCTATGTATAAGGAAACTGAACGGAGGAGGAGGTGGAGGAGGAGGAGGAAGAGACGGATGAGTAGGGAGAGACGGAGTGATGAGTCAGTAAGGATGATGACGGCGGCGGCGGCGGCGGCCACGATGATTATAATATTTTTGGTGGCAGGTGTGCATCACAAACTGGAGGCCGAGGCTCGGCCAGTCCCATGGCTCTACGCGCAAACAGCGAGCCCGCGGTGGTCCACCGCTCACGGCGCGATGGCGAGCGAGCCCACAAGGCAAGCAGCGGGACGGCTGGCCAGCTCCCCCGCCGTGTTCTGCATTGCGTCCCCACGAGGGGCAGGAGGAGGAGGAGGAGGAGGAGGAGGAGAAGGAGGAGCAGGAGGAGGAGGCGGAGGAGGGGGAGGACAGACAAAGAGGAATAATGATAAGAAGCATAATAATAAGACGCTACTAATAATAATAATAACAAAACTGATAATACTTCGAATCGTGCTGCCACGAGGAGCAGCATCAGGCAGGGCCCGAACAACACGCACAGACCGTGGCGGCTGTGATGCCGAACAGTACGCAACCGCTGTGGACGCTAGTGCAAGCAGTGGGCGACGATGCATACTACCAGGGTCTTGCTGGGCATCATCTGGAAACATATTCGGAGCGAGGAACGGACGCTTCATGAGGTCCATGACATCACGACGGAACACTGAGCGCTTTTGCCATCCAGTAGATTTGCAAGTATATGAGATGATCGGAAGTCGAAGGATTAGCATTCACGGAGAAAGAAGGTCCTGGACATGAATCGGATCGAACGACGACCTCGGTCAGGACGGTGGTATGCCAACAAGGTGGACGCCACTTGATTGTAACAACGTGTTGGGTGCGAAAAACACGCAGAGGAGCGCGATCAGGTACACGAAGGGGTTGAGTCGCAGCAGGCCGAAGCAGACGTGAATGCCGGCGGCCCTGCAGCGCAAGGGGGGTGAGCAAATCTGTGCGACACCCCGAGGCGTGTCTCGTGCAGCCCCGCTCGACGATGGGGCCACCCCTGTAGAGGTGCCGGAGCGCGCCCGCGCACACGCCCACGCCTCGAGCCTCCGAGGCTGCGGACACGACCGCAGAGCCACACTGTGCGTGAGCATGCGGTGATCTTATGCCGCGTTTGCTCCTCTCATGTGTGTTTTATCGGTCGGCTCCCGAGTGTGGGCAGTTGCACACGCTGCGCTCGCAGTCCGATTTCTCGTTCTCGTCCGTCGGGGAACGGATATTCGAGGAGTCGGCAGAGAGGCAGGGCATGAGGAGTGAGGAGTGAGGAGGGAGGGAGAAAGGGAAAGGGTGGGAGGGAGGGAGGGAGGGAGGGACGAGGGGAGGAGGCGGGCCCCCCCCCCCACCCCACGCGAGGCCCGGGCGAGAGCTCGCGGGGAGGCTCGTCGGAGTCGGCGAGGCGGCAGCAGCAGCGGTGGCCTTCGCGATCCCCTTCCCTCTTGTTGTTTGTTAGTGTGTGTGTGTGTGTGTGTGTGTGTCCTCGCTTCCTGAGCCGAGCCGCCGCGCGCGTGGCCGCGATGCCAAAAAGTGTGTGTGTGTGTGTGCATATTTGTGTGTTGTGTGTGTTGTGTGTGTGTGTGTGTGTGCTTTGTCGAGGCTTTCAGCTGTGGTCAATCGCTCCCAAGCGTGGTGGCGGAGCGCAGCCCGCCTCTCGAGCTCGTGGGCCGCAGGCCTCTCGTCATCTGCACACTGGAGGACACGGAGGTGTGCGTGTGTGTGTGTGTATGTGTGTGTGTGTGTCTTCTTGGTGTGCTCTTGTCTGCGTGTGTGTGTGCCTGTGTGTGTGTGTGTCTGTGTGTGTGTTTGTGTGTGTTTGTGTGTGTGTGTTTGTATGTGTGTGTGCGTGTGCGTGTGCGCGATTTGCCTGACCAGATCTCCGCCAAGCGGTGTCGTCGCGGCCGCGTCAGAGGGACAAGTGTTTGCTTTCGACCCGGACACAGCAGCGGCCCGTTTTGTAGTGGTTATGGCGTCGCCAGGGTTCCAGCCACTTGATCTGCACTTTTTCTCTGTCTCTCCCTCTTCTCCTCCCCTACGCTTTTAATGCCAGCCTGTTTGCCGGCCATGTCTCCATTCGCGGCCATTTTTTGTTGGTGTGCCCCAGCTGCTTTTGGGCCCTCGCTTTAGTTGCGGCGTACTTTGCCAAGCCTTCCTGCTGGTCACTGCCGATATGATGAGGAGGAGGTGGGAAGAGGAGGAGGAGGAGGAGGAGAAGGAGGAGAAGGAGGACCAGAAGTACGAGGAGGAGGAGTTCGGCGCCCTGGGTCGGTCTCCCGAAGGCCGCCCGTGTATTGCACACGCCCAGCCAACGAACTACCGCCCAGAGAGCAGCAAAAGCTGCGCAGGAAGGGCACAGGGGGTGACCACGTCGCCTGTGAAGACTCGCGGCCCAGCGGTTCCGACATGGTGCGTTGGGAGCCAAAGGCATCCCAGTCGTAACAGCTGGCACGGCATACCGAGGAGCACAAGCTCCCCAGCCCTGGGTGGGCACAAGGCAAGCCACCGCCTCCCAAGGAAATGCCGATCCCTGAGGGTCAGATCAACATGAAATGACCGCACAGGCGCCGCTACCCGCCTTCACCAGCAGGGCCAGGCTGAGACTGGGGCCGTGCTACACCCAACGACGGGAGACCCGTCGATACAGGTTTCGCAACGTCCACCCCGAGCCCCAGAGCCCGCAGTTCCAGACAAATCGGCCGGTTGCACCCCGCCCAACCCGCGAAATACGTGCCGTGTACAGTGTGCCCCGAGGGTGTTCCGCACTGACACCATGAAAACAGGTGCCAGGCCTCACCCTCGGGGGGGGTACGAGGAGAAGGAGGAGGAGAAGGATGAGAAGGATGACCAGGAGTAGGAGGAGGAGGAGGAGGAGGAGGAGGAGGAGGAGGAGGAGGAGGAGGAGGAGGAGGAGGAGGAGGGGAGGAGGAGGAGGAGAGGAGGAGGAGGAGGAGGGAGGAGGAGGAGGAGGAGGAGGAGGAGGAGGAGCAGGAGGGAGGAGGAGGAGGAGGAGGAGGAGAGGAGGAGGAGGAGGAGGAGGAGGAGGAGGAGGAGGAGGAGGAGGAGGAGGAGGAGGAGGAGGAGGAGGAGGAGGAGAGGCGGAGGAGGAGGAGGAGGAGGAGGAGGAGGAGGAGGCGGAGGAGGAGGGAGGAGGAGGAGGAGGAGGAGGAGGAGGAGGAGGAGGAGGAGGGAGGAGGAGGAGGAGGAGGAGGAGGAGGAGGAGGAGGAGGCGGGAGGAGGATGGGAGGGGGAGCAGGAACAGGAGGAGAGGGGAGGTGGAGGAGGAGGAGGAGGAGGAGCTCTCGAAGCTCTCGGGCCAAGCGCAGGCCCGCCAGCGGCGAGGCTGCGGTTTGCCAACGGCAGGGTGGGATGACGCACGTCGGAGCGGGCACCCGAAAGAGCGAGCCGCGCGAGCAGCGGGCCGCACGCGAGTTTTGATCACTGTGCGTGGCCACCTCCTGAGGAGGAGGAGCGGCTGAAAGAGGCTGTTCGCCGCCTCTTTCAGCCGCTCCTCCTCACTACGGCGCACTCCTCCTCTCCTGCCTCTGCCTTCTCCTCTGCCTACTCCTCCACCTCCGTCTCCTCCTCCTCCTCCACTCCTCCTCGTTGCTCCTCCCTCCGCCTACCCCCCTCCTCCTCCTCCTCCTCCTCCGTACTCCTCCTCCTCCTCCTCCTCCTCCTCCTCCTCCTCCTCCTCCCACAACTGCTGGCTGAGGTGCGCGACCAACTTATCCACGCGGGTCTTGGATCAGGCACGCCGATCTTCGAGCAATCCTACCTCGTGTTTGGTATACCCGAGCCTCCTGCCCTTCTGCCACACGCAAATACGCGGAGGCATGAGGTCTGCCTTTGGGGCGACGCCTATGGCGTTTGGGGCCCCGTTTCTTACACCGACGGGTCTGGTTACGACTCAGGTGTTCCCGAGGTGCGGAGGTGTGGACAGGCAGTTGTGCAGCTTGATCCTTACTCTTTGGCTCCCAACTAGGGCGCGGTTTGGACCCCTTCCGTACTTGGTGCAGACTATCGGCCGTGCCGAGGGGTACGCGATCAGGGAGGGGCTCGACGCTTTCCCTGACCACCAGTGCTTCGTCACTGACCTGCTGGCGTTCGCCCAGGAAGGAGAGCGTTGGTGCCCCGAGTTCGACCAGGGTCGTGCCAAGCATGCTAGAGCGTGGCGGGACATCTTCGTGGCCAGCCGCAGGCGCATTCTGCGGGACCCGCCCAAGTTCCGATGGACGCCAGCGCACAGGTCTTTGGAGGAGCTTGTGGGCACAGAGCCGCAGGAGCTGCGTGACTGGCTAGGCAACGGCTGAGCAGACTATTTCGCGCGCTGTGGTGCGGCCTTTCACGCACTAGCTTGGTCGGTCGCCGAGGCAGAAACAGCTGCGCTGAAACAGCACCGCAAGGTCCTGCAGTTTTATTTCGTGGGCGGCACTGCAGGTGGTGGTTCGCAAACAATGGGGGTGCGATGTGGAGGTCCCCAGGCCACCTTGCGAGCAGGCCAGGCCCATTGTGGTGGCAAGCAGTACCGACCATGTCCTTGCTTACTGCGCCAGCCTGGGGCGGTACATCTGTACCCAATGCGGAGTCACGGCCACAACGGGCTCCTCCCTCGAGTCGCTGCAAACGGACTCTCATCGTGCATGTCGCCCTTCGCGTGTTGCCAGCGCTCTCAACGCCGAGTACTTCCGCGCCTTCGGCGAGGGCTGGGTTCTCTGCAGCGACCAGAGGGCTGGCATGGCCCTGGGCGCGGCCTTGGGCGCTCGGAGGGAGCTCACGGCCCTCGACCCCCGCAGCCTTCTTGCCACCTGCCCTGGCCGAAGAGGTCGGGGACGCCTTCGCCGCGCTTGGGCACGACGTGTTCAAGGGCAACAATGTTTACTGTTGCAGACGCTGCGGGTCCCACTGTGCTGCGGGAGATGTCCGCACAGTGTGGAAACTTGGCCTGAGGTGCGATGGGCTCTCGCCCAACGAGTCCACGCGCCGCAACCAGCTCGATGCGATCAGGCGCGTCGAGAGGGGCCTGGCGCCTCGTGCCCGACGTGCCCCAGCGGCACCGCTCCCGCAGGGTGGCTCCTCTTGCAGCCACGCGGCGCGATGACCCATCATGTCGTTCTTCGCTGCCGTACCGTGTTCGGCTGGTGGCACGGCGTCTTCTTCGGCGGCGACGCCTTCTTCGTCGGCGGCAAGTTGGCTTGCGTCCGCGGCCTTGAGGGCGACTTCTTCCAGCTGCTCTCCCTCTACATTGCCTCCTGCTCTTACGGCACCGTGCCGTGAGTGGGCGGCGCCAGGGGGTAGTCCGTCGCGCGCCCGCGTGTGCGGCGGGAGACCTGTCCTGAGGCGCTGCGCTCCTCCTCCTCCTCCTCCTCCTCCTCCTCCACCTCCTCCTCCTCCTCTGCCTCGGTGCCTCGCACTCCTCGGGGCATGCTGTCAGTGTCAATTGCATGCGGCGGCTGGGGGCAAATAGACCGGTTATCGTCGTTCGTGCGCCAGCCGCGTGGCACTTTGCCCGTGGCAGCGGCGCGTGAGTTGCGCCCGTGACCTGGATATGGGTGCCAGGCGCGGGGGATGTGCATTTGGTTGAGAGGCGGGGCCATGTGGTCCGTAAGTCCCTTCGGACCTCGTGTCCGTACAAACCCAGTTGCACATGCCATCCGATTCGGCAGGGGTGACGGTCGGGAAGTACTGCGCGGTGACGCGGTGAACCGGCTGTCCCCCTACGCGCCGCGCCGTCTCGGTTGGGCTGCGCGTCGCTGAGCGACGAGGTATCTGCCTTTCCCCTGACCGTCGGTGCTGGCGCCTGCGGGTCCCTTCCTCCTGTCTGGAAGGCCGAGGGTGACGGTTGAGCCTCGCTTGCCGCTCACTTCTTGGATCCATGACACTCATGACACTCCTCCTCCAACACCTCCTCCTCCTCCTCTTCCTCTTGCTCCCCATCCTCCTCCTCATCCTCCCCCTCATCCTCCTTTGCCTCCTCCTCCTCCTGCTCCTCCCACTCCACCTCCTCCTCCTCCTCCTCCTCCTCCTCCTCTTCCTCTTCCTTCTTTCCGGCCTTGTCAGCTGCCTGCTCGCCTTGCTTCTCAGTGTCTGCCGTGCTGGTGTCGAGGAGCTTCGTGCTGTCAGGGCCGACGTCCCGAGCCTCCTCGAGCTCGAGCAGGGCTCACTGTTGGAGGACCTCTGCTGTCCCCAGGGCGGTCTTGATGTCTGCCTCCTGGTTGCTCCCCGCCTGCTGTCTTGCGGGCAGGTCCCGCCGTGGCCCGTCTGCTGTAGCGGGTCCGTGGTGCGCCACTTCGCTGCAAGGATGCGGCTGGCAGGTGGTGGGCGCGTAAATGCCCTCGGCGATCGCGCTCTATAAAACTGGGGCATCGTCAGGCGCCTGGCATGAGTGGCCGTGGGGGGCTGGGAGTCCGTGTCGCTCTG